ATTGTTTGCCTTTATTTGTGTAGTAACAGGAAGCCTCTAGAGCATTCACAACTTTTCACATCATATAAAAAAACTAGCTTTTTGGCATAAGGGCATTCCACTTAGTTTTAAATTTAAATATAATAATTCTTAATATGTATATGTCTCTTAGGTACCACAAATGTTGATGGTATATCTTTAGGAAAAGAATGAACACAGCTCAGATCCAATAATCAAGTACCAGATACAAATCCACTCAAGTCGGGGATAACACAAATACTGAGCCTCAAGATGCTAGAGCACCTTGGCTTGCTGCCTCTGTCATTCCAGCAGTTAACTCTGTTTCTTAAACATTCCATTTTTTAAAAGTAAAGCTCTCACAAGGCACCCACTAACACCTCCTCTGGATCACCATGCCATAGATGAAAATTCTAGGCTACATACTAGCATATGAATGAGTATTAACACTTCGAAGTATGTACCAAATCTCAGGTATACAGTAAATCTGAAATAGGCAGACTTACTTTATTTTGCCAAAAATGTGTATTTAAAATTTTTCCAGTTAATTTATTCTGATCTAAATGCCTTTTTTTTTTTTTAAACAAAACCAGGAACCTCAGATCTTGATAGCTCTCAATATAAAAGTGCTACAGAAGATGCTATCATGGCAGTTCATTTTGGCAGTTCCTCACACCTCAGGAAATGTCTCCATTGAAAAGTTATTCCTGCTTCCCTCTCTTCAAAATGATCTAGTAATTACCTAAAGGGATAAAGAGCCAAAGGCAGAACAATCAAATGCTATTAAGTTTTGTTATGTGTGTGTATGTATATACACAGATATGTTCTCACTTTTACAGACATACACCAGAAGGCAAAGCAAGCCAAAACTGACATCTGTTGGAAAAAAGGTACTGGAAGGTTTATTGGAAATATAACGGCAATGATGTTTTTCTGTGCTAAAGTAAAGCTCACTTTTATTTGGGGTACTCAGTTCCCACTGATGAGTTCTACACCAACAAGTTAGCTATTTGGAGCAATTATCTAGATAAGCAAGCCAAATAATCTAAAATATCCTGTTTTGAGGCAAAGTTGCAGGGGTTGAAGGTAGGGAAAGCTGGGAAGTAGGTATGAAGAGGTTATTTAAATGATCTGAACCCTTGGATCAATTTGCATTGACTACATTTATATGAGCAATCTTTTGAAAACTTGATTACCAATAAAATATGCTAAATTTTTCTTAGGTACCTTTATTTTTATTTATTTTTGAGACAGAGTCTTGCTCTGGCTGGAGTACAGTGGCATGATTTCAGCTCACTGCAACCTCGGCCTCCCAGGTTCAAGCGATTCTCATGCCTCAGCCTCCAGAGTAGCTGGGACTACTGGTGTGTACCAGCATGCCCAGCTAATTTTTGTATTTTTAGTAGATAGAGACAGGTTCGCCATGTTGGCCAGGCTGATCTCAAACTCCTGGACTCAAATGAACTGCCCACTTCGACCTCCCAAAGTGCTGGGATTATAGGAGTGAGCTACCATGCCCAGCCTCAATTTTTCTTAGCTATTTTAAACAAAGGATTTGCTGCCTATCTTCAAGTACTCTTTACCTGATGATTTCACAAACCAAAGTCTGGACCACTAAAACTATTAGTGAAAACACCACTTGAGTTTCACCCATGATGCAACATGAATGCCAATGGTTATTTGTATTTTCAGGCTAAGGTATGGCCTCATATTTATCTCTGAAGTTCCCACTGAAGTTTTCAGAGGAGGTTTGTACTCCCATAAGAACTATAAAGTTCTTTTTTGGAAAAAGTATTAAGTCGAAAAGTGGAGGCCTTCATTTTTTTAAAAATCATATTGCAGGCAGATATTTATGACTTAGCTGAAACAGCGTAAGTTAGGTCACAGTGGAATAAAAAATGATTCTGGGAGGCAGAGAGAATGGAATTTTTTAATATTTCCATTTAAGTAGACAGAAGCATAACTTGGAGCATTTATATCCCTGTAAAGTTTGGCATCTTCCAAAAACGATTTTAAATTTAGAAACTTTATTTTTGTATTTCACTGGACTTAAAGCTAGAGGTGGAGGAGATACTTAAACAATGGTCACTTTCTAATATAATTCACATATTTTATTTTTAATTTTTACCCTTATTAGGGAGACTTTATGAGATCAAATAAATGAATCCAAGTGTCTGGAAGTGATAAGCCAACTGTATGGTAGGTGGACCATGATATGGATATTTTAGATAAGTAGTAAATGATTTTTGTATTATTTGTGTTTGATTTTACAGTACATTTTAAAAATTACATTTAAATATGTCAGTCTAAAGTTTTCGGAGTTCACAGCATTTTGGAGTTCACAATGGGAAAATGAAGTGGCCATTACAGATACCACAACAAAAGGGTATCCTGTAATGGCCACTTCATTTTCACATTGCCTATATATAACATACATGCTTACTAATAAATGTCTTCTGTAATCTAGAAGATTTCAGTTTACCGACCGGCTCTGTGACCTTGAGCAAGTCATTGTCCTTCTCTGGGCTTCTTTATTTTCTATTTGTAAAACATGAGGTTGGAATAGAGTAAATCTTTTATAAAATTCTCTTTTAGTTCTTAACTTTTTATGTTTTTAAGTTAACTGTCAAGTTGGCTTATAATTCCTCTAGGGCAGGTGTCCCCAAACTACGGCCCGTGGGCCGCATGCGGCCCCCTGAGGCCATTTATCCGGCCCCCCGCCGCACTTCAGGAAAGGGCATCTCTTTCATTGGTGGTCAATGAGAGGAGCACAGTATGTGGTGGCCCTTCAACGGTCTGAGGGACAGTGAACTGGCCCCCTGTGTAAAAAGTTTGGGGACGCCTGCTCTAGGATCAGAGGATATACCTAAGCATTTTCACTTGAAGTACCTTTTGTGGTATCTGATCAAGAGAGTAAGAAGGTGAACACAATCTTTCTTTTCCTACTTTGTGTGAATTAGAGTTAATAAAAATGTTGGTGTCACTAATATGGAAGTTAGGGCAATAGCTGTTTAGCTTTAATCCCTATCCTAAAGCAGGCTTCACTATAGCTAGTAAAGTTCTAAGCTCAAGTCACAACAACAATAACCCTGAGAAGATCTGAAAAGGAATGTACTCCTGTGACATATGACACGGGTTCTTTCAGTAGTAGAGATTGATTTACACATATGATGTCTTTAGAATATAACAGAAGACTTTTGGAATACAGTTCCACGCCTGGCTAGCCTGTTTTCTGATGAGTTGATAAGGTCACTGTTAGAACAATTATACATAAGTTTTCAGAAGTGATATACATTTCTGAGAAAAACATGTTTTTATGAAATAGGGTTATCTGCTATTTCTTTTGGTGCTGTTAATATGAGTTAGGAAGGTAGCCCAGGTTCTATTATTATTCAAAGTGAATTTGACAATTTGGAAAGCTGAATCTGTAACTTCAGAAACCTTTCTGGAAAGTAACCTATTATAAAATGTCAAGGACATTTATGACAGTCTCAGTGAAGCAGGGGAGAAATTGATTTGAGTGAAAAAACACTTCAGATATGATCAAGGAATTATTTTGGGACAACCTCTTGCCAAATGAGTCTTGATGCAGCTTTTACACTTGATCACTTTTCCCTGGGTCTGAGGCTTTATTCTTCAAAACCTCCTCCTATTTCTGGCCCTTTCCCCTCCATTTGGCTCTTCTCTAGGCTATTGAAAGAGATGGAAATCCAAATAACAGAAATCACACTATTAAAAGCAACTTTGGAGGCATATTTGCAGTGTTTGAAAATTCCTCATTTCTCTTTTACCAGAAATTACATACGTTAATCTAAATGGATTTCTACTGGTGTTGACATTTAAAAGACCAGGGTGACACCTAACTATTTTACTTTTCTGGGCTATACACTATTAATTTAATCTCTAGGATTCAGACCTAAAGTTTTTTCAGGTCATATGTTAGAATCTAAATTGAGGAAACCTTTGTGCTAATGTTGGTAAAAAACAAAAAACAAAAACAAAAAAAACAACAAAAAAAAAACCCGCCCTTGCTCAGCAGGTTCTGAGTGGTTATCAAGTCTAAAATGATGATCATATGCATTATGGACTTTATTTTTTAACTTGAACCATTGTATTCTGATGAGGTACTCTTAAGCTGTGGAAAAGAATATGTTTGGATGTATAAATACAGCTTTCTTTTAAGACAGTAGAATTTGGATCACGTTTATAATTCCATGAATCCACTAGGGTTGTTATGTTTTATATTTAACATAATTTACACATGCAATTCCACTGCCCCAATGAATATTAAAACTGCAATGTGAATTAAGTTATCTCGACCTAAAATTGCCATTTTATAAAGCAATTAATTAAAATTAAGATGCTCTTTTCTCATATTTTGACACTTCAGCAATATGACATTTTTCTGATAAAATATTTCAAATTCAGGCTTTTAGAAATGCTTTGATAGCAATGATAATTATAACTATCAACAGAATAGGACCTGACAAATACGACAACTATTTTTCTTGCCAATGTATGAGATGTAGTGACTACTGGTTAGAGTGTAGTAGAAGTTTTTAAAAAACAGCACAAATTCTCAATACTAATTTTGATACTATCAAATTTTAAAATGTAAGATAACTGAAACACACAAACACAGGAAAAGAATTCACCTAACTTATTAGATATAACATATACTATGGGGTAAATATTTGAGTGGCACATATTAGGAAACTAACACATCTTTAAGAAACAAGAAAACTCAACAGCCCCCACAATAAGAAGTTGTAGTGTCTAAGAACGAAACAAGTCACTTATACCTAGAAACTACAAGCTGACAATTCTTTGGAATCTCTTCAGCCTCCCTTTGATGCTGTTCATTGAACCAGCATGGGCCGTGTGTAGCACTGAATGGCAACAAAGATAGGCAGGGTAGGTTGCCTTATCTGATAGCTGATGGGGACTGCTAACCACATCCCTCAGCTCTGTGGGAAAATGGCATGAAATCCTGAGGATGGTCAGGAATCTGTGTGGCAGCAACAGCAAGGTGGCACCTGGGGCTTCAAGTAAGCATGGGTAATAAAATCAAAGAAAAAGGGTGAAGCACCCAACTGCACCTTGCTAATTAGGTGCAACACTCTTTCAGTTGGTTGTAAGATGGGCTTAGTGTTTATAGGTATAAAAAGGCAAAAAATAATGTAATAAAACAACAAAAATGGAGAATGTGGCTATAAAAGATGGTGCAAATGGGAGTTTCACTCTCCTTTTTGGGGGGCAGGGGCAGTAAGGGAATCATATCTTGTGTCACCTCTGAGAGCAAGGAAATGACAAATTTCTGTTGAGTTCCAGAACAGATGATAAGGACTTGACTTAGAGCCGAGTTGTAACTTGTTCTTCCTGTCCATCACCCCATTTGTGCATGAGCAAGTCACAAGCCTCTCCCCAAGTTTCAAATACATCCTCTGAGGAGTCTAAAAGTTTAGAATTTGAGGAGCAGATGCTGGATGCACAGTGAAGAGAGCTGGAACAGGCTAGAGGGCATTCACTGCTCTGAGCAGCGCCCTGGACTTCACCTAATTCTACCTCACTGAGGTTAATTTCACTTTGAGCACAGGCCTCTGCTTTCCCTTTCTCCATCTGAGAATATCTGATGTCCTGCCACATACAGTGCTGCTGAACAATTCCACCAGAAATTGTGTACATTGGCTCTGAACTGGGTTCAGACATATGACCATTAAATTTGGAGAATAGGAGACCCAGTTTCTTGAGAGAAGGACCCATGAAGGAGCGTTTGCTTGATGACTCAGCTTTTGACTTTCCCTGGGCACCACTGGATCTTGGCATGGTTCTGATGAGAGGTGGCCCATGGCAAGCCTTTTTCTTGCAGCCTAAATTAAAAGAGACACTCTTGGATTTGGCCCGAGCCCCACCACTGCCATCATTAGTATCATCTCTCTGAGAGAGTTCAGTGCTGCTGGTGGAAAAGCTTCTCCTTGGGTGTTTTCTATTTCCCAAGAGGTCAAGAACTTCATATCGGAAGCTGGAGATGTCTTGCTTTAATTCCTAGGAAAAGAGAAGGGACACATTATGTCAGGAAGCTTGGTCTTTATTTCAAAGTAGGCACATTAGATACCTTTGGAATGTTCCAGGTTTTTTCCTAGTAACAAATCACAAAATATGAGAAAAATCTGCTATTATGCAAATGCAAGAAAAACATATTAATAATTCCATGGGCACAGCTGGCCATTGGCAAAATTGTACAATGGGTAAAGTTGATTCAGGATTAGTTAACACTGTAGTAGTGATTAGTCTGTTGAGGCACTTTCATAATGACTAACTCCTGCTGAAGTATTAACTAACAAGGTATTAGATTGGGACACTGGCTCTTACAGGTGTCTGCATATAAAAGATATGCATATTCCTACTGAAGAAGAAAAAGCTTTAGGACTCTAAGAAGTGAAACTAGCAAAGTGGAATGTCAGGTGATGAGACTGCTGTTTTGAGACTTGTTCAAGTCTCTATGAAATGTCTTCTGTCTCCAACTGGCTGCTTACATACTGGGTTGTTTCTTTAAAAGTCAAGCTGAAATCTGTTCATGTCCTTGCCCTGCTTAAAACTTGTTACTAACCTGTCACTGACTTTAGGAGAAAGTAGAAATGCCTTACCATGGACTACAAGGTTTTTCAAGGCCTAGTACCAGTTGCTTTCTCCAGTTCCATCTTTCTTCTCTTTTCCCAGGCTCTCTACCGGACACATTCTCCCTTCCCTGTGGGTCTTTGCCTGTGCTGTTCTCTCTGTCTAGAACACTCTTCTCCCCAATTCCCTTTTATTTGGCTGGCTTCTCTTTCAAGCCTCAGCTTAAGCATCACTTCCTTTGGAAAGTCTGTATTGACTCCCTAAGTCTCAGTTGAGTGTCCCTCCTCTCTGTGTTTCCACAGTGTCCTGTGTTTAACTTGTCAGAATATACAATTGTTCATTGCCCTATATTGTTTGTCATGCCTTCAAAGTAGGAGTTGATTAAATCTTGCTCCCCACTGTACCAGAGCACTTAGCACTTAATGTGCTTGAAACATAGCAGATCCTTGGTAGATGAGTTATGTCTATGAATAAGGATAAGGCCTTTCTGTGTGCCTTGGAAAATATAGATGTGTTCTAGGATAGGATTTCTCAACCTTGGCGCTGTTGATGTTGGGCTGGATAATTCTTGTTGTGGGAAGCTGTCCTGCTCATTTTAGGATGCTTAGTAGTAACTTTGTCTTTACTGTCCAGATGCCAGCCTGACAACCAAAAATATCTCCAGGCAGTGCCAAATGTGATCTTGGGACAAAATTGCCCCTGGTTGAAAACATTTGTTTTAGGCTAATGCCACTAGTAGAATTTTCATGTTTAATGGTAGAGTTTCTTAAGACCTTAGATTTAATAACAGATTTTTTAGTCTTAAATTTTTAAGTAAAGAAGATCTTTAAGTCTCCAGGCACTTCCCTTTGCTTCCCATTCCCTCACCACCATGCATCCTTACCATATCATTTAAAGCATTCAATGTCCACACTGAGAAATGCCCAGAATATTAAAAGAATGCATACAGAGGATTTCTTTCATTCATAACACTGATTGTGGTGTGACATACATTGCTAAAATCTGTCCATCTACTGGATGAGAGACAATTCTAAGAGAATAAGCATTGTAATGGGCTTTGCTGTATTGTAAGCAGATGAAATTCTGTCACTAGAAACCTCACACACTATGAAGATTAAATGAAGCTTATGATATGTAAAATGAGAAACCACTTCATGATTAAATTACCTTAAAATTTTCTTCTGTTAGCCCCTCATTTGTTTTGGAATTTCTTATCATAGCAGCCACATATCTTTTGACTAAATTCCTGATAACTTCCTGGAATCAAAAAAAAAACAAAAATAAAAAAAAACCATGAAGCATTCAGTTTTTTCTCAGACTTTCAGTAAAATAAGAAACTTACATAGGAAATAAAATGTGCTTAGACCTTCTTTGCAGTAGGAAATCCTCACAGGAGCCAGCCTTTCATTGTAAAAAATGAGTTAAGTCCATTAGCTAAACAACTATTATGTCTCTGAATTCAGTGGCAGAATCAAATTCACCCTAAAGGAAATTTTTTTACCCAAGCATAAGGTAAGCATGTATTCACATTTATAGAATAATGAGAGTGGAATAATCCTTGCATGGTCATACAGTTAACATTATTTTCCTTTAGGATAGATTACACGTTAACATTCCTAGTAAAATGAGAGGGTTTTTTTCCCCTCCTTTTATAAAATTAAGAGAGTCTTCTTCAGAGTCACTAAGTCTGCTGATTTTAATGTCCACTAATTACATAGTGAAGATATTTTTTGCATAGTCAATCTACACTTCTCATTTACAGGAATGTCCTCTTTGCAGTTAGCCTCCAGGGGAATGGTCACTACAATTTGTATTAGTGATGATGATGATGATGATAGCTACCACTTATGGCTACGTGTCATGCAACACATGCACATATACATATTATACGTACTCATCACTCAATTTTCATAACTCTAAGTTAAGTTTTATTACTATCTCAATGTTACAGATGAGGAATTCAAGGCTCAATGAGGCTGACTCATCCAATATTAACACAACTACTAAGTGTCAAGATCAGACTTTCATTCTACTTCAGTCTCATTTCAAGGCCAATGTAATAGTAGCCAATGCTATATTTATTGCTTCTGCTACTATGTGTACTTGAGGAAGTCAATGAGATGTGCAGAAATCTTTTTTTTGTTGTTGTTGTTATTGTTGAGGGCTATTAAGGAGAAAATGAAGGCACTGAATCTTGCTTAAGATTTATTATTGTAAAAACAACATTTGAAGTTGGGAGTAGGGAGAGAAGGTTTACATACAAAATACTTTATTTTCTGCTTCTCTTTGTTAGTTATGGCCTAAGGGGAACAAAGTTAGGAGAAGTGACCTATAAAATAAGGATGGATTTCTCAGAAATGCTGTAGAACATTTTTCTACTTTGGGTTTCTTTTCATCAGGACAGTGAGAGATAGTTGTCTCTTATTTGTGATTTGCAAGGATTACTCTTAAGAGATGTTGTGATATTTGTATGCTCGGTTGTTTTCTAGCTGATGAGCAGAGTGCCCTAATGTTTATTAGGTTTATTACTTTTTTTTTTTTAACAAAATGCTGAAGTGCTTCTCTATTTCTTTGATTAAAGTCACGTTGTAATTTATCAAGATCTAAGTTCCTGACATTCAGATAAGCTTTTACTTCATTAAGGTTAGTTTCCTATTGTTATATATTTCCATTGCCCTATGTACTTTTTCCTCATGGCAGTTTCTATCCTTGTAATCACTTAATTTTAATACGATCATCCGTTGGTATACTCTGGGGATTGGTCCCAGGACCCCCACCCCATGTACCAAAATCCATGCATACTTAAGTCCTGCAGTCATCTTGCAGGATCTGCAGATACAAAAAGTCTGCCCTTTTGTATATGTGGATTTTACATCCCACGAATACTATATTTTTTATTTGCATTTGGTTGAAAAAATCTGCCTATAAGTCGATCTACACAGTTCGAACCTCTATTGTTCAAGAGTTAACTATAATTTTAAGGGCTTATTATTTTATCCCTGCTAGATAATAAATCTCATACAAACAGAAAGATTTCATCTTTTTTGTTCATAGTCATTTTTCTAGTAGCTAGCATAGCGTTTGATGTACAGGAGGTACTCATATATTTGAGTGACCAACCACATATTCTATTTTATGTAATTTCAAAAAAGAAAGTTTGTTGCTGATCAAGCTGAGGGGGTGCATAAGGGCCATGAACAGGATTATAAAGCAGGTGATTCCACTTGAAAGAGGTACTTCAGCCTTTGATAGATTACAGCCTTTTCAAGCCTCCTATCCCAGTCAAATGGGATTGTGTCCAGACACAGCCAGAGTGGAGTTTGTTTCTCCTCCACAGAACCAACCAACAACTATTGTGCTTCATCCCTGTGAGGAAGTTTTACCTGATAATGTTGATTTTGTATCAGGCTGTCGGCATTGCGATCCTGTAATTGAAAATAGACAGAGATGTTACATCAACAGTCTCTCAGCACCCTATCCACCTACCCATCTGAATTTATTTCTAAATATTAGGACTGGAGAATGATGCAGGAACTCCTGCCTGACAAAGCTCCAAAGCAAATGTGTGTTGGAATTACTTTATGATGTTGAAAATAGTGAGTGTCGCAAAGGAGAGAAGGGAGGAAACAGTTTTGTTTAAAAAGATTCATAATTTTGGCCAGGCACGGTGGCTCATGCCTGTAATCTCAGCACTTTGGGAGGCCAAGACAGGCAGATCACCTGAGGTCAGGAGTTCAAGAACAGCCTGAACAACATGGTGAAAACCCGTCTCTACTAAAAATTCAAAAAAAAAAAAAAAAAAAAAAAATGGCTAGATGTGGTGACTCACACCTGTAATCCTAGTATTTTAGGAGGCCGAGACGGGTGGATTGCGAGGTCAGGTGTTTGAGACCAGCCTGGCAAACATGGCAAAACCTCATCTCTACTAAAAATACAAAAATTAGCTGGGCATGGTGGTGCCCACCTGTAGTCCCAGCTACTTGGGAGGCTGAGGCAGGAGAATCACTAGAACCTGGAGGCAGAGGTTGCAGTGAACCGAGATCGCACCACTGCACTCCAGTGTGGTGACAGAGCTAGATTCCATCTCAAAACAAAAACAAAAATTAGCCAGGCATGGTGGCGGATGCCTGTAATCCCAGCTATGCTGAGGCACGAGAATTGCTTGAACCTGGGTGGCAGAGGTTGACAGTGAGCCGAGACCGTGGCATTGCACTCCAGCCTGGGCGACAGAGCAAGACTCCGTCTCAAAAAAAAAAAAAAAAAAAAAAAAGATTCATAATTTTAAAAAGTCTTACTGTGAAGCTTCTCAAGTTTCGCCTTCTCCGTCTACCGTCAGGGTCTCTTTTGGGACAGAAGGTGTTGTTGAACCAGTTACCAAGGTATAGAAATGACTTGGGGCTTGGGATGATGTTGAAAGGAGGTGGCAAGGTGCCACCTTCATCAAAGTAACTCATCCAGAGCTTCGTCCTTGCAAACTTCCACTCAATATCAGCATGATCCTATGAAAGACAAAAGTTCAAGGATTTGGGATGGGAAACTGCACGACATACTCACTTCTTGTTCTAAACTTTCTAGTTGCTTCTATAGAGGGCAATATGTCAATAGCTATATAAATTCAAATCATACATACCCTGTCACCCAGTTACCCTACTCTTAGAAATATATCCTATCTATATACTTATAAAAATATGTATATACAGGGCTGTTTACTGTCGCACAGATAATAGTAGCAAATAAAACTGGCAACAACCTAAATATTCAACAGTAGAACTGGTTAAATAAATGGTGTTACGTCTACAAACTGGTATTAAATATAAATACTAAAATATAGTAGATCCATAAACATATATATATATATATATATATATATATATATGCATCTATTCAAGCCCTCTAAATGAATAAAACAGTGTAAAGCACAATATATATTATGTACAATGATCCAATTTATACAACCAAAAAATATTTTATATTACGTGCTTACATGTCCTAGACAAGTACACACTAAACTGTCAATAGCAGTTATTTTTAAGGAGTGTGATTATGGTCGGAGGCTTTGTTTTTTTTTAAAAATTCAACTTTATTGAGGCATAATTTACAAAGAATAATATTCAACCATTTAAAGTGATGAGTTTTGACAGGTATATATACCCATGTAACAACCAATATAATCGTAACACACAAACACACCCTAGTGTACATTTCTAGGATTTTTTAAGAGCTGTATTGACTGATGTAACCACTACTACAATCAGGATACACATTTCTATCACCCTCCAAAATTCCCTATTGTTACCTCTTGGTAATCAAACTCTCCCAACCAACCTCTGACAACTGCTACTCTGTTTTCTGCCCCTACTTTAGCTTTTCCAAAATGTCATATAAATGGAATCATATAGTAGGTAACTTTTTAAGACTGGCTCATTTTACTCAGCATAACACCTTTGAGATTCATCTGTGCTTTCATATGTATCAATAGCCCATTCAATCATATTGCTGAGTAGTTTTCTATTACATGGATGTACAATGGTTTATTTGTTTACCCACTGAAGAACATTTGGATTATTTCCAGTTTATAGCAATTATGAGTAAAGCTGCTATGACCATTCATGTATAGGTTTTTGTCTAAACACAGGTTTAATTTTTCTAACTTAAATACCTAGAAGTGGTATTGCTGAATCATGTGTTAAGTGTGTGTTAAACTTTATAATAAACTGTCAAACTGTTTTTCCAGAGTGGCTATACTGTCTTCCATTTTCACCAGTTGCTCTATATATTTTTTAGTGCTTGTCAGGTTTTTAAAGTTTACTCATTCTAAAAGGTATGTAGTGGGATCTCATTATGCTTACAATTTGCATTTCCCAAATGACTAATGATGTTGAGCATCTTTTCACATGCTTATTTACGATCTGTATATCTTCTGTGATGAAGTGTTCTTTGGATCCTTGGCCCATTTATATCTATATGTCTATCTATCATCTATCTGTAAACACACACACACACACACACACACACACACACACATATAGATAGATTGATAGATATTCTACATATCATCTCTTTGTTAGATCTGTGACTTGGAAATATTTTATTTCAGTCCGTATCGTGTCTTTTCATTCTCTTAATGATGTCTTTACTAGAGCAAAGTTTTACTTTTGAAAAAGTCAAAATTATCATGTTTATAAAACTATCTTTTTTAAATAGATTGTGCTTTTGTGTCATGTCTACGAAATCTTCAGCTAACCCAAGGTAATGACAATGTTCTCTTATGTTTTCCTCCACAACTTTTATAGTTGTAAGATATGCCTTTAGTTCTGTGATCCATTTTGAGTTAATTCTTCTATAATGGAAGAGTTTTATGTTGAGATTCTTTTTTTTAAATTGTATTTTAGGTTCTAGGTTACATGTGCAGATCATGCAGGATTGCTGCATAGGTACATACATGGCAATGTAGTTTGCTGCCTCCATCCCCCGTCACCTATATCTGACATTTCTCCCCATGCTATCCCTCTCCACTCTCCCCACCCTATGCTGTCCCTCCCCTAGCCCCTCCCCAACAGACCCCAGCGTGTGATGCTCCCCTCCCTGTGTCCATGTGTTCTCATTGTTCAACACCCGCCTATGAGTGAGAACATGTGTTGTTTGATTTTCTGTTCTTGTGTCAGTTGGCTGAGAATGATGGTTTCCAGATTCATCCATGTTCCTACAAAGGACACTAACTCATCATTTCTTATGGCTGCATAGTATTCCATGGTGTATGTGTGCCACATTTTCCTTGTCCAGTCTACCATCGATGAGCATTTGGGTTGGTTCCAGGTCTTTGCTATTGTAAACAGTGCTGCAATAAACATACGTATGCATGTGTCTTTATAATAGAATGATTTATAATCCTTTGGGTATATACCCAGTAATGGGATTGCTGGGTCAAGTGGAATTTCTGTTTCTGGGTCCTTGAGGAGTTGTCACACTGCCTTCCACAATGGTTGAACTAATTTACACTCCCAACAACAGTGTAAAAGTGTTCCTATTTCTCCACATCCTCTCCAAACATCTGTTGTCTCCAGATTTTTTAATGATCACTATTCTAACTGGCATGAGATGGTATCTCAATGAGGTTTTGATTTGCATTTCTCTAATGACCAGTGATGATGAGCATTTTTTCACTTATTTGTTGGCCTCATATATGTCTTCTTTTGAAAAGTGTCTGTTCATTTCCTTTGCCCACTTTTGAATGCATTTGTCTGTTTTTTACTTGTAAATCTGTTTTAGTTCTTTTTAGATTCTGGATATTAGCCCTTTGTCAGATGGGAAGATTGCAAAAATTTTTTTTCCCATTCCATTGGTTGCCAGTTCACTCTAATCATTGTTTCTTTTGCTATATAGAAATTCTGGAGTTTAATTAGATCCCATTTTTTCTATTTTGGCTTTTGTTGCCAATGCTTTTGGTGTTTTAGTCATGAAGTCCTTGCCTGTGCCTATGTCCTGAATGGTTTTCCCTAGGTTTTCTTCTAGGGTTTTTATGGTGTTAGGTCTTATGTTTAAGTCTTTAATCCATCTGGAGTTAATTTTAGTGTAAGGTGTCAGAAAGGGGTCCAGTTTCTGTTTTCTGCACATGGCTAGCCAGTTTTCCCAACACCATTTATTAAACAGTGAATCATTTCCCCGTTGCTTGTTTTCGTCAGATTTGTCAAAGATCAGATGGTTGTAAATGTGTGGCATTGCCTCTGAGGCCTCTGTTCTGTTCCATTGGTCTATATCTCTGTTTTGGTACCAGTACCATGCTGTTTTGATTACTGTAGCCTTGTAGTATAGTTTGAAGTCAGGTAGTGTGATGCCTCCAGCTTTGTTCTTTTTGCTTAGGATTGTCTTGGCTATGCAGGCTCTCTTTTGGTTCCATATGAAGTTTAAGGTGTTTTTTTCCAGTTCTGTGAAGAGGGTCATAGGTAGCTTGATGGGGATAATGTTGAATCTGTAAATTTCTATGGGCAGTATGGCCATTTTCACAATATTGATTCTTCCTAACCATGAGCATGGAATGCTTTTCCATCTGTTTGTGTCCTCTCTTATTTCCTTGAGTAGTGGTTTGTAGTTCTCCTTGAAGAGGTCCTTTACATCCTTTGTTAGTTGTATTCCTAGGTATTTTATTCTCTTTGTAGCAATTGTAAATAGGCATTCGCTCATGATTTGGCTCTCTGTTAGTCTGTTATTGGTGTATAGGAATGCTTGTGATGACTGCACATTGATTTTACATTCTGAGACTTTGCTGAAGTTGCTTATCAGTTTCAGGAGATTTTGGGCTGAGACGATGTGGTCTTCTAAATATACAATCATGTCATCTGCAAATAGAGACAATTTGACTTCCTCCTTTCCTAATTGAATACCCTTTATTTCTTTTTCTTACCTGATTGCTCTGGCTAGAACTTCCAATACTATATTGAATAAGAGTGGTGAGAGAGGGCATCCTTGTCTAGTGTCATATTTCAAAGGGAATGCTTCCAGTTTTTGCCCATTCAGTATGATCTTTTTAAAAATATGGGTGAACAATTGCTCTGATATCATTTGTTAGAACAGTTGTCATTTCTCCATTGAACTGCTTTTGCCCCTTTGCCAAACATCACTTGGGGCATGCTGGACTACTAGATATCCATATTCAAAAGAGTACAGTTAGACACTTGTGTTATTCCACATACAGAGCTTAGATCAAAATGGATGATTGGCCTATACTTAATAGATAAAAACTATAAAACTCTAATAGGAAAGCTTAGGAGTAAATCTTTGTGACCTTGGATAAAACAACAGTTTCTCAGATATGACACCGAAAACTAAGTGTCAAAAGAAAACAGATAAATTTGACTTAATCAAAATTAAAACCTTTTTTACTTCAAAGAACAGCATCAAGAAAATGGAAAGATAACTCAGAGAATGTGATAAAATAATTAAATATCATATATCTGATAAGGAACATGTATAATTGTATATAAAGAATAATTACAACTCAACAAGAAAAAGACAAATCAATGTAAAAATGGGAAAAGCATTTGAGTACACATTTCTCCAAAAAAGATATACAAATGGCCAACAAGCCCCTGAAAATATTCTCAACATCATTAGTCATTAGGAAAATTCAAATTAAAACCACAATGAGATATCATGTTATACCCATTAGGATGACTATTATAAGAAAATACAGATAATAAAAACTGTTTGTGAGGATATAGAAAAATTGGTCCCCTCATATATTGCTCGTGTGTGTGTAAAATGGTATAGCTACTTTGGAAAGCAGTATGATAGGTTACTCAAATGGTTAAACATAGCGCTACCATATGACCCGGCAAATCCACTCCTAGGTATATACCCAAGATCAATGAAAACATGCCTCCAACTCAAAAACTTGTATACAAATTTTCATAGCAGCATTTTCATAATTGAAGAATGAAAATAGCCTAAATGTCCATCAAGCAATAAATGGATGAACAAAATGTGGCACATTCGTACAAGG